CCTTCTGTTACAGGAATAGAAGACTGTGGGAATGCAAATGCAGAAAACAATATCTATATCTGGATAGATATAATTTGTGGTAGAGTAGCACCTAGAGGCCCCAACTCAGAGTAGAGCCCGATTGTGCTAGGTGCTGTACAAACACATAATAACAGACAATCCTTACCCCAAAATACTTACAGTCTAAACAAACAAGGCAAATGATGTGAGAGGAAACAGAGGCATTGAATGACTTGCTGGAGGTCACACAGCAGCTCAGTGGCAGAGCTGGGAGTAGGAGTCTCAGTCCAATGCCCCAGCCATTTGACTATGCTGCCTCCAGTTTCTACATGGGAGTAACTAACTTTGGATCTAAACAACCCCAAACTTTAGGAATGTTCTGGTCTGGATCCAGATCCGAACCTTGAGGCTGGGGCCTATCTCCAAACCCAGAATGTTAACATAAGCTATTTTAAAAAAATTTCTGTGTTAGAGATAGGCCCCAGCCTCATGGTTCTGATCTAAATCCAGATTGGAACATTCCTAAAGTTTGGGGTTGTTTGGATGCAGGATGTCTGTTCAGGCCCGAGTTTTAAGGGGCATCTGCAATGTTTGAGCTCCATATCCAAATTTGACAATTTTTGCTTCTGACTTTCTGGTTCTAGCCAATCTCTGCTTGTGTAGTTCATTTTTTACCTTCTCATCAGATTAGGAATAGCAGCACCATAATAGACTTTACTGTTCAAATGGGTTAACACAAATCCTGCAGTGTTTTTATTGCTATTAGCAGACTCGCCTTTTTCAGGAAATGTTTGCATCCATAATGCATTTGCATCCTTAAATCTGCCTGTCCATCCCAGGCTTGCCACTTAGATGGAACTAAGTCTGGCAAGAATAAGCCTCAGTGTGGCCAACCCCAACCATTCAAAAATCAGGAGTCAGGCTCCCCCAAAGTCTTATCACTCATGAGATTTTTTTGAAATAACATTTTGAGTTCATTATATTTGACTTCTGGCTTTTGAGACTTTAGGTTGCATTTGGTCACATTAATCTTTTCTTTACAACCATGCAGGCTAGACACTTACTTTTGTAAAAATGAAAAGGAAAGCCATGATTCTCACCTAATCACATATCTCCAGGAGCAGAAGTTCTAAGAAAAACTCCAAAGATTGTGAAACTTGCAGTAATATCACAGAAGCTGGCAACACTGGGTTGTTGAGTCTCTTGGTTGCATTAACGTTAGCCACAATAAAGTGGCAGTTCCACCTTGTGATTGGGGAGATGCCGTGAAATGGAACTGCGGAAAGGAGTTGTCAGAATCAATCCAAATGCTTCTTAGGCTACGTCTTCACTACGGGGGGGGGGGGTCGATTTAAGATACGCAAATTCAGCTACGCAAATAGCGTAGCTGAATTCGACGTATCGCAGCCGACTTACCCCGCTGTAAGGACGGTGGCAAAATCGACTTCCGCGGCTTCCCGTCGACGGCTCTTACTCCCACCTTCGCTGGTGGAGTAAGAGCGTCGATTCGGGGATCGATTGTCGCGTCCCGACGGGACGCGATAAATCGATCCCCGAGAGGTCGATTTCTACCCGCCGATTCAGGCGGGTAGTGTAGACCTAGCCTTACACAGCTGCAAGCTAGTAGTAAGGGTGGTCTAATGGATTGAACTGTGGCTTGAGATTTTAAGAGGCCTGGGTTCCATTCCTACCTCTACTGTAGACTGCCTGTGTGACCTTGGGAAAGTCACTTAATCTATCTGTGCTTCAGTTCCCTGTCTGTAAAATGAGGATTGTCGTAGAGCTTCCCTCTCACAGAGGGTTGTTGTAAGCCTAAAATTCATTTATCCTGAGGTGTGATGTATATGAGTGCACCAATACAAAACAGTTAGGGTCACTAAGTGAAGTGAAATCCTACTACACCTCTCAAGGAAGGATTAATGAATGACCAGCTGTTAAGATCTAACACATCAAGGAAGCTGCAAGACACCTTGGCTACATTGCTGCTCTGTCCCTCACTTTTTGTTACATCCCATCTCACCACCCCTCACTATGTGTTGTCTGCAAGGCTGGGATCTTGTCCTCGTATTTGTCTGTAAAGTGCCTAACATACATTTGGCACTACATAAATAGTAATTGGTCTCCACTGATGCCCTAGCCCCAAGGAGAGGCAGGTATGGAAAAACAAGAGACCTTACCATCTGCCTATCTATCTTAGATACTACAGCTATGGTAATGGGGGCCATATAAGTTCCTGAGTGCCTCAAAGTCTTTAATGTATTTATCCTCATAAGCCCCCTGCAAGGTAGGGGCTCAGCAGAGACAGCTGCTGGAAAAGAAAGAATTGGTAACGCCGCACTCTCACCTACTGAGGAAAGGGGCTTGAAATGCAGGTGCTGAATGCTGATTGGGTTTGTCACATGGACCTATTAGCAGGCTAACAGGAGCCTAGCAGGTAGTCATTTTGGATTACACGGCAGTGGCATCTTCTAAATATAAAAGCCTAGAAAAATAGGTGACCTACCACAGTATATATGCTGCTCCCACCACTTTCAACGTGACCAACAGTTCCAGATGTAGATAGGCCTCAGTCAAACATTTGGATCTGATCCTCTAATATTTTGCAAAGCTCAGACCCAAATTCTGCCCTGACTACAACTTGTGCGACCCCATTGATTTACGGTGTAAGTCAGGGGAGAATTTGCCCTTCGAAGTCACATGTTCCAATCACTAATACACCTAAGTGCTGGGAGAGTCCAAATTAATCCAGTATAAGCTCTCCACTTATTTCAGACTCCCACAACCAAAACCAGGTAAGGTGGAAATGACTTCATGCCTGATTGACTGACAGTTGTTAATAGGGTCCAGGTCCTGGCAGGTCCCCTCTGAGGGTAAGAGCCTGCACTTTGTGCTTGAGCTGTCAAATAGATTCTCTTAAAACTCTTAATTTACTTTCTAGGCTCCTGGAGTCTCACCTCTTTCATTAACTGGATGCTCAGCATTGTGTTAGTGCTCATTTCATTTCCTTCCCTCCCCTAGACAAATGCACATACACAATTTCTAAGATTCTCCTTCTGCTCTGATGTGGTGCTATTCCAGTCCACTTCTCTCACCGTGTTCAGAGTAATCTTCAAGGGCTTTTTCCTTTCTAATTTTAAGTTAATTTAGTGGTGGTGCAAGGTGTTGATTGACAGTCCCAGAGACTGAAGCTCTTTTTTGTCCTCCAAGGACTGAAAGCAAGGCCAGCAGCTTCCCTACCTTCACCCCTAAGCTTGGAGAGGATCTAGGGATCAGTGCAGTCTCCATCCCCATGCTGTACTTCTATCACTCTTGGTTCTTACACCTTGCCCATCACCCGGGTATCTACAAGTGTATTCACATGAACATAAGAAGCTCTCTACATCTCTCCCCCTTTTCTCATTCAGTAGAGCCCCTCTTCTGAGAATGCCAACAAGGGTGCCAACCGTTGCCCAGTTTGATGGTGTTTTTTGGTAAGAAAGATGCCCCTCTGCTAAGAATCAGGCCTCCAGCCCATTTAACATAGGGCCCCAAACCATCGTCAGATGGGAACATTTTTTAACTGATGCTCACCTCATCTGGATCTGACCTAGTGATCAGAGCTGGTCAGAAATTTCTAAATGTTGTTGAAAAATGGAGGGGTGAAATCCACGATTGTCCCCTCCCCCCATATTCCAGCCAGCTCTACTAGGGATGAGATGCACAAGGCATCATGTCCCATTATCATCCCTATGAGCCAAGCAGTCCCTTCTAATGTAAAATTTGGGGCGTATAATTTTGGAGGTGCCAATAATAAGTAGTTCCATAGTTATCACTTTGTGCAGCAGGGACCTTAAAGCAGGCATTGAAAACCACTCAGTTTGGAAAGAAGAATGCCGTGTTTCTTCTGCAACCTTACAGCATCTATCTGTGAGTAAAGAATGAAGGAATAAATACATCTGTTAATTATTTTTAGGTACAAATAATTAAAAATGGGCCCTTTGGAATCTCGTGTTTATCCAGGCTCCTCTAGTGAATAAACAGCTTGTCACTCACCCTGCAGACTCTTCATTTAGTGAAAACTCTAGCAATCGGCATTTCATCTGAATGAATACAAGTATTACTGTTATTGATATGTTAGTTCTTTGTACTGTGTATTGTATAGCACCTCGGAACCCTGTTATGGACCAGGTCCCCACTGGGCTAGGGGCTGTACAAACACACAGCAAGAAGACTGTCCCTGCCCCAAATTAGACAGCAGATCCTGCAGTCACTGCTAATGCAACAAGGGCCTCACCCAAAGTCCTTGCAAGTCAATGGAAAGACTCCCATTGATTTAAATGGACTTTGAGTCAGACCCCAGAAGCCCCTTACACGGAGCATGTGCATGATTGGGCCCTATTTTTTTAAGAAAGTGGTAGCCTGACACTTCTCTCCCTTGCACTGGTGAAGCCACTGAAGTTATGTCAGTGCAGAAGTGGTGCAAGTGAGAAAGTGATAATCCATGCTCAGGGTTTATTGGCCCTGATTCAGCAAGCTACCCCATCAACCTCAATGGGATTATTCACATGCTTAAAGTTAATCACATGCTTATGTTCCTTGCTGAATGTGTGCCTCAAGAAGAGCCTGTGTGGTGGAATCAGACGTCCTGAGAGCTAGAAAATCAGGCAAAACCAAAGGCTACATCTGAGTTCAGCTGCCTCAATCAAGAATCGCCATTATAATTATTGCACCTGAGTCCTGCTTCTTCTCTTCCACAAGAATCACTGTCATGGCAACAAAAAGAATTTTTCTGTAGTGTATGTGAATCACAGAGTGAGTGAGTGAGTGTGTGTGTGTGTGCGGCACGCACACGCAACTCTTCCATGTGTTCCCATGTCAAATCCCACTCCCAACGTTAAAATAAATGTTACATGGCAAGGTACTGTGCTGTTAACTGCTTTCATTTATTCTTCCTATAAAAACTGAAACGAGTAGTGCCTGCTTTTGTCTAACTAGGCACACTTTTTTTTTCTTTCCTACAGTGTCAAGATTTTCAAGCCCAAGGGTTACTCCAAGATTAAGCAGAAAGCGAGCCCTCTCCATATCCCCGCTGTCTGATGCCAGCATTGATCTTCAGACAATGATCAGGACCTCCCCTAACTCCCTGGTGGCTTATATTAATAACTCCAGAAGTAGTTCTGCTGCTAGTGGCTCCTACGGCCATTTATCTGCAGGGGCAATAAGGTAAAGCAGTTCGAGCAGCTCCATTTAGACTTTTGTTTCTTTGATCTTGTGCCTATATAATTAATCCATTGTCAGAACTAAAGCTGTAGAAAAGGAACTTTTTAAGCTTTGGCCGTCTAGGATTGTATGGAATCTTGTTCCAAAAATGTACATTGGGTCTGCGTTGTATATTAAAATGAAACCTCTCTTTGATTTCATGCATGTGGAAGGGTAATCTACATTTAGCCTGTTTCTTCTGCAATGGTGGATATGATGGTACTGTAGAGTGTATATATTTTTACTGGGAGGGAATATTGGTTGCCAGATTTTTATTGATGATAATATGTTCATACCTCTTTGCAAGCAGAAGAAAGGCTAAATTTATCTGTTAAAATGTTTGCTGTGAATGGTTTGACTGGCCTTATTAGGAAATCTCACATCTTAGAAGACTACCTCAAAGTATCCCTGAATGTATTGGCCAAGATTTTAAAAAGTTAATTCCTGTGTGGATTTAGGAGCCTAACTTTAAACACTGATTTTTAAAAATCTAGGCTCTTGAGTAAAATTCTGTTCCATCCTTAATTAGAAAACACTTCCCTTAAAGGAACAAATGTTGTCAGCTCCTCAAGTGGTTGCTCAAGGCAGGTTTCACACTATAGTATTATTATTTTTACCACTGAGAAGCTAGGTATGGTTTTTTTCCTATTAATAATGTCATTCTAGACACCTAGAAAGAAATGTAAGAGTTCATAGAAGCTATGCATTCCTAAAAAATGATTGATCTTATTGTTAGTAAAAAGTTAGACATTAATTGAAAAGTTGCTTTGTCAGATAAAATTTTTGAAGTACTAGCTTTAGGAAACCTCAAGATTTTAACTATTCATCATACTTATCATCCCACTGTTCCCATGAGTTCTCCCCATCTATTGTATCCACTTCAAGTCTCTTGTCTTATACTTAAACTGTAAACTGTTTGAGCCTGTGTACGTTGCTTAGCACAATGGGGTCCTGATCCTTGACTAGTGGCCTCTAGGCATTACCACAATAATAATAATAAATTTAGAACCATTTAATATGTATTTTACAAGGCATATGTTAAATCTTAAGAATTTTAAGTGTGTGTCATACATAGAAAACAGTTTAACGGCTAATAAATTGTGTACAGATTGACTTTTTTTATTTTTAATCACTTAAAATTTCATCAGTGGAAGCAGTGACGCAAATTAATGCATCTCACCACAGAGGGATGGTCATATGTTATAAAGTGAGTTTTCTGATGGTTCCATTATATAGAACAGTTGCTCTACAGTAACCTGTCATCAGCTCTTATTATGTCATTAACCATTAACATTTATTTTGCCACAAGGGCTTTTTAACAGGGTAGTGACTTTGGCCTTTGCTTTTTGGTCATGTTGTCATTAACTGGTTTAGAATAGAAGCAGCCTTAATTGCCTAGTCAAGTTTATTATTTAAAATAAAAACATGAACATACTGCTAATTAAGGCCCAGTCCTGCAAGCACTTGTGCCTGTGGGTAGTTTTGCTTGTGAGTAAAGTTACATGTATATAAATGTTCATTGGATCAGCCCCTAAAGTGCCAGATTGACAGCAGTGGAATTAGAAGAACACTACCAGTAAAGTTGGCAGTTCTGATGGTAATTTTTATGGCGTGTCTACTACATCCTGGTCTGAAACCACACTGGTAACCAAATAACCATTAGATGGGAATGATTTCTGGCTATGAGTGATCTAAACTGGGGTTGAACTAATGACCTGCAGAAGAAGGGTTACATATTTTAGTAGTCCCATGAGACATTGTCCAGCTCAGTTGAATGCAGGATACAGTTCATATTTTTTAAATATGTGAAATTGATTGTTAAATGTTCCCTCTTCAATTTGTGCCTGAGAGCCAGGTGACTTCACTTCTGTATTAAAAGTAGCGTAGCCACAAGCTTGGGAAGTTGCAAAAGAGGTCTACCTGGAAAAACCTTGCATTGTTGCAAAGCAAGATTTGTGGGGTTTTCCCCCATTGTAATCCACTCTTTTCAAACAACTTACAAAAAGAAATCTCTAGCAGTATTGTGTGTGAATAGAAGGGGTCCATAAATATACCAAAGTACAGATGAGACCAATAATATCTGTGTAAAAAATATTCCATAGTGTATATCATGGAAGATTAAAGAAAATCTAGTTTCCCTATTTTATCCTCTTTCCCATAATCAGCAGGAAGTTCTACCCTTACTCCAATCACTAGCCAAGGTTTTAATTCATTTTTTTAAATAACTTCTCCTTGTAATTTTTCCTCCTCTATTTGTATATTTATTGCAGTCCAGCATTCAGCTTCCCCCATCCCATCAACCCGGTGACTTACCAGCAGATCCTGAGTCAGCAGAGAGGCTTGAGCTCAGCATTTGGACATACGCCACCTTTGATCCAGCCATCTCCCACGTTCCCTCCACGACAACACATGGCAGTTATCTCTGTCAACCCAGCTCCCACTCAGATCAGTAATAACAACAGCTGCATCTCTGACTCTAACCAGGTAGGAGCCAGCTCAGGTAATGTGATGTGTTTAATACAGCCAAGCAGTGAAATTTAGCTGCTTTTGAAAAAGCGTATCCATTAGAGCTGATCAAATAAGGCCTAATTTTCAGAGGTTCTGCGCATCTGCAGCTTTCATTGACTTTAGTTAGAGTTGTGGGTGGTCAGCACATCTGAAAATCTGACCAAAAATTAAATGCATTCAGAATTTTTCTTGGTTTAAGTTATCAGGCCATTCTGCTCATGTATCCAGTATTCATCAGTGCAAGCGGTAGGTGTCCCATCCAGGGTATCAAGCAGTCTCATCATTCTATAAATGTGGTCTAGGGGGGAGCAAAGACTCATGGATGGGTTACAACAAGTAGACCACTTAGGGGGAAACTTGGCCCCATTGATGGCAAAACTCCCATTGACTTCAGTAGGGCCAGGCTTTCACCCATAATGTGCATCGTGACTCTGTTATTCATGTGATTGGGCATGTTATGTTTCAGGGGTCTCAAACATGCGGCCTGCGGAGTTATTTCCTGCGACCTGCCATAGGTGCTGACTCCACTGGCAGCCAAGCTCCCCAAATGCTCCCTCCCTCCCTCCCCCCCGAGCATGCCGCGTCCCCACTCCTCCGCCTACAGCTCAGCGCGTCCCACCGCCAAACAGCTGTTTGACGGCTCTTAGGACTTTCCAGGAGGGAGCAGGAGGAGCAGGGACACAGCGCGCTCACAGGAGGAGGCGGAGAAGAGGCAGGGCCGGGGTAGGGATTTGGGTAAGGGGTTGGAATAGGGGCGGGGAAGGGGCGGAGTTGGGGCGGGGACTTTGGGGAAGGGGTTGGAATGGGGGTGAGGAAGGGGTGGGAATAGGCGGGGTGGGGTGGGGCCTCATGGAAGGGGTGGAGTGGGGGCGAGGGTAGGGAGGGCTTTAACTGAAGTAATTCTAAAAGTAAATGCGTGTTTTGTTGTTTGAGTGAGATGCATTACTGAGTGTTTATATTTTATTAAAACCCCTCTTCGCATTACAGTTTTTAAAAAGTTAATACATTGACTTTTAATAGCACACTATATTACTCTTCATTTTTTTTTCATTTTTGACTATACTTCAGTATCATTGTATGAAAAGGTTTCAGTGATGCAGCCCTCGGGCCAATGTTCTAGTCCTCATGTGGCCCTCGTGGTGATTTGAGTTTGAGATCCCTGTTATATTTTCTACTCCCTGACTGGATGATGAAACTTTTCAACAGGAGAGTGACAAATAGCAAACAGCAAACATCAGATATAACTACAAAGCATTTTTGTGACTGTGAAGCAGCCATATGCATATTTGCAAATAACGTATTATGACCCTCTAGGGCCTTTATTCAGCAAAGCACTTTGCCGTATGTATAAGTCTATTCCTATTAGCGAAACACTTAAGTTCTTAGGTTCCATTAAAGTTAAAGGGACATAAGCACATGCTTAAGCGTTTTGCTATATTGGAGTCTAACAGCAGTGAATCAAATTGAAGTAGTTTTTTCACCAATCGGCTTTTCCTTTATTTTACCTGCTCCTCTGCTAATGTTGTAAATCATGCAGATGTTTTTAAAACCACCATATTCTTTCCCTCACTATGTTTGCTAAGACACAGAAAGCAAAGCATCTTAGGACTGGTGGTCACATCAGATCCCAGTTTCCCTTTTGTGCTAAAGAAGGGGCTGGTTTTCATTTTAGAAATCCAGTCTAGAGGAATTTTTACCACCCCCCCCACACACACACACACTTTTCAAATTACATTGGGAAGGCATTTATGAAATGGGCTCTTGGTCTGGGTGTAAATTGTATTGATTTTATTGTCCATTTTATAAACTTGTGGGCCCAATTTTCATAATCAGCCATACACATTGTATGCACAGGCACCAAACATATGTATACGTTGAGTACTGAATATTAGTGAGTACACATGGCATATTTTTAATAATTTTTGCTTCTTACTCTCAGTACTTGGAAGTTTAAACTACCATTGTGTCACTACCAAAAGAATTATTTCACTCCATTACATACCCATTTCAATTTGTTATTGTATTTTATTGTTCTGGAGCAGACTGTCCAGATTGGTTTATTATTCTAGAGTATGTCATGGGTGCTGGACTGCACACTCTGGTTTGTTATTGAAGGGTTATTTGACTGGTTTTGTTTTCTTCTGCTTTATTTCATTCCTAACAAATTGAGTTCCAAAATAATGTAGGTGGTGGAAGTGGAGTGTCCGTTTACATAAATACTGTACGGATCTTGAGTAATTAACAGCAATGTCATTACAGTTTTAATACACCTCTACCCCGATATAACGCTGTCCTCAGGAGCCAAAAAATTTTACTGCGTTATAGGTGAAACCGCGTTATATCGAACTTGCTTTGATCCACCAGAGCGCGCAGCCCAGCCCCCCAGGAGCACTGCTTTACTGCGTTATATCCGAATTCGTGTTATATCGGGCCGCGTTATATCGGGGTAGAGGTGTATTCTAATTTCATTGACTGTTGTTTGTGTGTGTGTCACATTGTGCTTTTTCTCTTGTAGCCTCTCTTATTTTTTTCTGGCGCACAGCCAAGTGTGTACACCCTCTCATGTACACACACAGTATAAAGAAAACACCACATGAAAGCAGAATATAGAAACTATTTGGTTTCTTACCATGTTATTTCATCTTGTTTCGAGAAATAAACCATGGCTTGTCTTGGGGTGGCAGTGTGGGTGTTAATCAACAATTGGCTAAATTTGACAGGGTCTAGATAGTTCTGAAACTGAAGCAGTGGCTGAGAGGGGAATGGCATCAGTAAATATGCACAACTGCTTTTTTCAGGCCTTCCCTCTTTCCTTTATTTTCTCCCTCTCTCTGTGCACACTCCAAATGGGTAAAATTCACCCAGTGTAGACATCCAGCACTAGATCTGTGTCCTGGGCAGGTGGCCCTGATAACCAGCCCAGTTCTTTTTCCGTACCAGTTTGCCATAAACTGGTCATGATGTTATGAGGCTGTATTGCATCATTTTTTCTTCAAACCCTAATGCCACATCACCCCTAATTTTTCTTTCCTAGAACAAGCAGAGCAGTGAGTCAGCCGTGAGCAGCACAGTCAATCCAGTAATTCACAAGCGCAGCAAAGTCAAGACTGAAGTTGAGGGTATGCCACCAGCTTCCCCAGCCACACAGGTAACCCTCTTGGCACATATTGTCTTGTCAGCCTGATGCAGTGAGCTGATGGGTCTGCATTGTCTTTGGGAACAATATTCACTTCATGTTTCTCTGCAATTTGTAATGAGGCATCAAAGTTTGCAAGGCAACTGAGCTGATCTCAAATAAAGAGACCCAACAAGGTACAGGAGCAGGGTTTCTGTGATTGATTGAGGGAAGCATTATATGGGTTTGTGGGAGTTGGATTCCTGGTGCAATTGCCCAGAAAGAAAGAGAGAAGGATGGACTATTTCAGTCCTGGTAACTTATAAAAATTATGCTTGACTTCTACAGTGCAAAGCAAGCAATATTGATGCCTCAAAGCAAACATAGATTACAAGGAAGTCTTGCATGTAGGTAGAAAGCTCTCAGAAAGGGCTTCTTCTCTCCTGAGTATGGAATTGCTCATAGCATCATTCTTTACATCACTGTCACAACATTTGACACTGAGAAGGGCCCACAGACCTTTGTTTTCTTTTCAGAGCTCTGCTATTGTAAACTGTTTAATGGCTGACAATATCCATCTGACTGTCCTTTATCACACCTGTAAACTATCAGGAGTGCTCTGGGCACTTCATTTTCATGAAATATTACGCTGTGTTATTGTCAAGCGAACAGAAGAGTTGATGACAAATTCCTCTTTCTGCACTGGTTCAGAAGCAGGTTTCAGCATGATGCATGGGGACAGCAACTTGTGCAATCATCTGGGGGCTGGTAAAATTGATGAAGATAGCATATCAGGGAAAGATAAACATGCTGTAGTCAGCACGATTAGGGCAAAGAGGCATCTCTCTTGAGCTTTGAGTTTAGGAGTGCAACAACACAAAACAGCAGAAAGCGCACGACCTAAAAAACCAATCTGGCCGCCCCCCAGGCTAATAAGGCCGCATATTTATTTCTTGTAGTAAACGAAAAAGAGATCTGAAAGAAATTTCCTGCCTTCCCAAGCATATGTATCGGATGAGCCCTGGGAGAGACTACTGCACATTTACTGGCACCATCCTTTAATTACATACAGATTTTGAGAGCTGCATGCCCAATACCAGTGATCACATTTACAGAATCAGGGGGAATACCAATGCAATTGTGTACGTTTATTTTTCTTATTATCTGACTCACAGTGTCTTATGAATGAAGTAAGTACCCAAAAAAGCGAGGAATTATGTAGAGTGATACAAGGAGATTTAATTAGCAGTAATTAGATGAAATTAACAAAAAAAAAATGTAGGCTGGGTATTTGGAAACCGTTCCTAATGAGGAGATCTGTGGCTCAGGCTCTCAAAAGAAGTGTAGGCTCCATGGCTTGAAGCATTTAAAAAATTGATTGGACAAAGTATTGGAAATACCCTGTAGGGGGCAATCTTGCCTTGGCAGAAGGAATAGACTTAGATGACTCAGTAGAAAAGGGACCTGTTTTTCAGCAGGTCTGAGCACTCACAACTAGAGCTCATCGAAGACTGGAATTTCCATCCTGAAGGCAAAGCTGATATTTCGACATTTGTTGTTAACCCAATCAAAATCAAAAATTGCATTTTTTTTTGGCAGAATGAAAAGCTCATCGATTCCAAGGCCAGAAGGGATCACTGTGATCATCTAGTCTGTTCTGCTTTATAACCCAGACCATAGAACTTCCTCCAAATAATTCATAGAGCAGATCTTTCAGGAAAATATCCAGTCTTGATTTAAAAATTCAATGACGCCACCACAACCCATGGTTGTTTCAGTTGTTAATTACTCTCACCATTAAAAATATGTCTTATTTCCAGTGAGAATTTGTCTATCTTCAACTTCCAACCATTGGATCATGTTTTACCTTTCTCCACTAGACTGAAGAGCCCTCTATTAAATATTTGTTCCCCATCTAGATACACACAGACTATAAGCAAGTCACCCCTTAATCTTCTCTTTGTTAAGCTAAATAGATTGAGCTCGAGTCTATCACTATATGTTGATTTGGAAATGTTGCATTTTGTTTCAATTCAACATTGGCCAGCATCTACCTGAGCTGCTCTGGTGCCTCACTGGAGTTGTGGCGTGGGTGCCTCGTGCCCCATCATCCCCACCATGGGCCAGACTCCCCAGCTGGATATCTCCCATCATGCACGGCAAGCATAGCGCTCCCATAATGTCCTAAGTGGTTCAACCACAAGGAAAGCAGCAGTGCAGTGTGGGAGATGTAGTCCAGTCAAGGAGCCCAGCTCATAGATGAGAATGGGGGCATGAGATGCCATGGCAGTTCAGTCAGTCACAGATTAATGTCTGACTGACCCAAAATGAAATGTTTAGATTCAGTTGGACAAACTGAAATATTTTGATTTGAGTCGACCCAACCTGAACCGAAATATTTCATTTCCGTTTTCCTGATAGAAAACTGCATTTGTCAGAAACTGCATTTCCGACAGGGACTTGGGGGGAAGCGGGGGTACAGGGGACATTTAGACAGAAAATTCCTGACTAGCTCTACCCACAACTCCAGCTGAAGTTAATGGGAACTTTAGGTATTCAGCACCTCTGAAAGTCCTAAGACTTTTCCATCTCTGATTTTGTACAGGCCTCTGATAAAGATTCTACCTCCCTCTCAGAAATTGTTCTGTAACTTGCAGCAATTTTCTGTTATCAGAGCAGCCTTTTCCAAAGAACAATCAAGGGCTAATTAGAACAAATCTCTCCATGCATGAGTTGTAAAAAATGTACATAAAAGTCACACCTGGCATGTGATATCATGACAGCTGCTTTAATAATAATACTTGATCTTTTATGTAGCACTTCTCACCTTCCAAGCTCTGTACAAGCATTAACTAGTTAATCATCACAACACTCCAGTGGGTCTTGAGAAAAGGTTTGAAAGAGGAGAGGGTGGTGGCCTGATGGTCCCTTCAGGCAGGGTGTTTCATGCTGAAGGGATAAGGGGGAAGAAACTGCTATAGCAGCTTGGGAACAGTGGATAAAGAAGGGTTCAAAGATGGACTTGGTGGTGGAGCACAGGGGATGGCGGCAATGTGATACTGGTCAATAAGTGAGAAGTGGCAGAGACATGAGGAGCTTTAACAATGAGGACAAGAAGCTTGATGTTAATATAACAGTGTACGGTTGCAGCATATCATCCCTTTTCAAATGAGTATGCATTGGTCTCCAGTAAAATCATGCTTTTTCCTTAGTATTGTTCAGTGAATAGGGCACTAGAGTGGGAATCAGAAGACCTGAGTTCTGTCCCCAACTCTGCCACTGAGCTGCTGGGTGACCTTGATCAAGTCACTTCACCTCTCTGCTCCCCTCCCACCTTTAGGGCTTGCCTACATGGGGAAAGTTACAATTATAATTTTACCACTGTAGTTATAGCATTATAACTCCACACATAAGTACTCATTCTGGAATAACCGTAGTAGTATAATTATGCTGGTAAATTTCCCCATGTAGACAAGTCCTTAGTCTGTCTTGTCTACTTAGATAGTAAACTCTCCAAGGCAAGGATAGTTTCTATATTTGTACAGCGTCTAACACAGGGGCCCTGATCTGAGTTGGTGCCCCTAGTTGCTACTGTAATTCTAATAATTATAACAATCTTCCAGGCCTTGTTCCATCATATTGGACTGATCTTCTTTCAGGCTGGGATTTCCAAATGAGCATGAGGGAATTAGGCACCCAGCTCTCACTGAAATTCAGTGGGATATGGGCACCTAACTCCCTTAGGTCCAGTTAAAAATCCCAGCTTTCATGAATATTCCAGGCTGTTCTTTAAGATCTAAATGGGACAACTATTCAATTTGCCCTCCATTTAATCTTGCAACAGTAGGAGCTAGAGCTGTCTGTAATTACCGACCTCATCTGAGTAATACCCTTCTTTTAACCATTAGGAACTCCCCATTCGTCATCTTAGCATCTGCACAACCTGCCTCAGGTGGCACGTGACCAGGACTTTGGTCTGCTGGGTGGATTGTTAGCTTCCCTGGCCCAGGCCAAGTACTGATGGGGAGCACGACATGATCACCGATCCATGCCCCCGTCCCAGTTCATGTCTGCATATGGCAGCAGTCTGCGGAAGACATCTCTTTGTTGCCACATTTGCTGGTTTGAATGCTGCTTTAGCTGGGTTTTAGCACTGGTGTTGAGTTAAACTACATATTATAATCTGTATCCGGCAAACACTTATTATAATGCCCAAAACCCCAAAAGCCAGCAGTTGCCCTTACTAACAGGCTTCACTTTACACTAAACATGAGAACGAAAATAGTAAAATAGATTGTTTGTTTATTTCCAAATCTCAGTACTAAACACTTCTAAGTATGTAAGGCCGGGCAGTAAAAAGGCACACTGCCACCTGTGGTAATCTCCTTCCCCATGTAAATCTGTTGAGGTGGGATCATAGCAATCTAATTCATTATTGAGTAAAATCCATCCCTGTGCATAGGCCAATGCCCTACTTGACATGCCTTTTAAATTTTACCCTGTTATGAAACTCTAGTACCAAAGAGCCCGCTACATTATAAGGCTGTTATATTCCAATGTATCCTGATGGGAAGCTTGTCCTTTGCTAAACAGCTAGGGCAAATTCCCAACATCCTTACTAAATTGTTAGGCCAAAGCCCCGTCATTCTTTGCAGCAAAAACTTCAGCATTTGGCCTCTCCCTTTGATTTAACTCTATAATGCAAAGGGCCCAGTCCTGCCATTCTGTTGCCGGTTTGACTCTCCCTGAACGCCGGCGCATGTGTGGGGAGCTGCAGGATTAAGCTTTTTGATGCCCATCAGCTTTCCCTTCCCTACTTACATTGTTGAATGTTTGTTCCTACCTATTCAAACAGGGTCTGACTGTAGATTTGCTTCTTTGTCCCCTCCAATTAGTTTCGCGGCTCTTCACTCTTTCTATGATAGAAAGTGCAGAGAAGTGTGAAAATGACTTTTTTTTTTACCTGACCAGAAGTAATTAGAAGCCGCTGGCTTTGGTTTCAGTCTGAACCAGTTACATTCAACCCTTCTGTTTCTTCTTGTCTGTGACAACTTTCTGCAGGGCTGAGATCTGTGCATCAGGCTCATTTCAGCTAGAGATGGGCCCCAGCCACGCAGCCTAAGGACTGGTGGGTTCGGTTTTAGGGGGTTGGGTCAGGTCAGGGATTGGCAACCTTTGGCACGCGGCTCACAAGGGTAAGCACCCTGGCGACCAGGCCGGTTTGTTTACCTGCCGCGTCCGCAGGTTCGGCAGATCGCGGTTCCCAGTGGCCGCGGTTCACCGCTCCAGGCCAATGGGGGCGGCAGGAAGCGGCGGCCAGCACATCCCTCGGCCCGCGCCGCTTCCCGCCGCCCCCATTGGCCTGGAGCGGCGAACCGCGGCCACTGGGAGCCGTGATCGGCCGAACCTGCGGACGCAGCAGGTAAACAAACCGGCCCGGCCCACCAGGGGGCTTACCCTGGCGAGCCGCGTGCCAAAGGTTGCCGATCCCTGGGTCAGATCCATGCTTGATTTAAACCACATACAAAAACTCTCCTTTGGGATAAAAAGCACCTGTAGCTTGGGGGGTTTGAGGCTCACACTTAACTCGCTCTGGTTGAATGCTCTAAGAATTATTTTGGGAACATTCTGTGGCCTGGGTTATACAGGAGGTCAGACTAGATGATCATGATGGTCCCTTCTGGCCTTTGATTCTGTGAATTTATGAAATTCCAAAGGATGTGGATCTTTGTGGCAAGTTTCTGTTGCACTCTTTGTCCCGGTGAACATGGTTTGCTGATGTTAAGTGCTGCAAAGATAAGACCAAGTGAAAGCATGGCCTGCCTGTCTGCCTGTCTTAGCATATATACACACATGCCCCATGCCCATACAGCCTGCTCCACCGAAGGCAATGAGAGGTAACTCCTGGTACTGTAGTTTCCTGTAGCACAGTGGTTCACAAAGTGTGGGTCAAGACCCCATTTTAATGGGGTTGCCAGGGCTGGCTTAGACTTGTTGGAGCCCAAGGCCGAAGCCGAAGTCCAAGACCCACCGTGCAGGGCCGAAGCTAAAGCCCAAGGGCTTCAGCCCTACGCGTTGGGGCTTGGGCTTCGGCCTCAGCCTCCCCACCCAGGGCGGCAGAGCTCAGGCAGGCTGAAGCTTCGGCCCCCCTCCTGGGGTCATATAGCCCTTTTTGTTGTCAGAATTAGGATGTGGTGCAATTTAGTTTGAGAACCTCTGCGTAGCATTATGTTCCCTGGTAAATAGTTGCTTCTGATTGTCACGTTCCAATGAAAACAGACTGTGTACCACCACTCTGTGTCGTGCTGGAAATGACGGCGATACACATGGCTGCTACAAGGCCTGTGCGCTAAATCATCATTACATCTTAATTATAATAATTTGCATTTACATAGTGCTGTAGATGTTCAAATCACTTTGCAAACTTTAACTATTCAATCCATGTAATACTGCAGAAAGATAGGAAAATATTATTTCCCTCATTTTCAGATGGGGAAACTGAGGCACAGAACGGTTTAAGCAACTTGACAAGAAGTCAGGAAGGTTTCCAACCGGAGGCTCAGTTGGCTGTATCATGCTAGTGGACTAAGCATGGAGCAGAAGCCAGAAGTTCCTGAGTTCTACTCTGACATTGACTCAATGTATGGTCTGGTCAAGTTACTTAAACTCTCTGCCTCAGTTTCTCCTTTGATAAAATGGGTATATGAATATTTGCCTACCTCGCAGGAGTGTTTTGAGGATTAATTAGTTCGTGCCTGTAAAGTGCTCTAAGGATGTAAACCATTGTATAAATGCTAAGTATTATTATTACCTATCATTGTAGAGGAAGGACAGATGTGTGTGGATAAAAGAAGACTCAACCAAACTGTTTAAATAGTTTAAAAAGATTCAGTGGCTATTTTCCCCTTCCATTTTCTTATTCCATCCAGATAAAGCCAGGTAGCAAAAGAAACAAACTATTCACAAGAGAGGAAGGATGGTCTAGTGCTTAGGGTGCTCACCTGGGACTCAGATGGTCTTAGTTCAATTCCTTGCTCTTCCTTGAGACTTACTGTGGTGAATCTCTTAGTCTCTCTATGCCCGAGTATCCTCTCTGTAAAATATGGATAATAGTATTACCCTAGAGTAATTGTGGGTGTATAAATATGATGGACTCTGGAGTCTTTCCTCATGCTATATCTGATCTAGCTGGTGGGAATCCAAAGATGTGGGTGTTTATCTAAATCAGACCCCCAAACATTTTAAGACTGGCCTGTCACTAGCGATGATTTCCTCCGGCAGATCCATAACTGCAAGACCCGTTTTAACTCAGTATTTCATGATAATCAAGAATGTTGCATTGTTATAATGAGCTGTCCTTTCCTTTATGATCAATTAATACCTGCCCTGTAATCTATGAGAGACTGAGGAATTCAGATGAAACAAACTCACTTTATATAATATACTGTGTGTTACAGGAGCATCTGACAGACCTGAAAGAAGATCTGGATAAGGATGAATGTAAACAGGAGCCTGACGTTATTTATGAGACAAATTGTCACTGGGAAGGGTGCATAAAGGAATATGACACTCAGGAGCAGCTCGTCCATGTGAGTAATGTTGGAAAGAAACCCCGGCAATAAATTTGGATTTCTGTGCATTTGTCGTCACTTTTCATCACAAGATGCTGTACAGCAGGAGCTCACTCTGGGAGCCACTAACGGTGCAAATTAGAGGTACAGTGTGCAAACACTGCAAGATCAGCTCACAATTCCTTGAAGAGTTTAGCTTAGATCATTTGATAGTCTTATGTTTCAACTGCTGAGGGTGTAATTCTGGTTCCCCTTGCAAAGCCCAATAAAAGGGCTGTGTGAAGGGGATCTTATATGGCTGCTGGGGGGATGAATCTCCTTCCCTATAATGGGCAGTTGGACACAAAGCACCTGCATAGCCCAAACACTGTGGTTCTGGCCCCTGGGCTGGCTGCCAATCAGCTGTTCAGCACCCTTGGAGCTGACTGCCAATCAGCAAGTGACTGGCAGGAGGCGCTCAGAGGCAGGGCCGGCTTTGGCTTTTTTGCCGCCCCAGGCAAAAAAGCCTCCCGCCGCCCCCTCCCCCCCCTCACAGTGCGGCAGGGGAGGGCGCCGAGCCCGGCCGCGGGCCCGCTCTCCCCGACCGGCCAGAGCGCCGGGGGTAGGGCGGTGAGCCCGCCGCGGCTCCGCTGGCAGCCGGAGCACCGGGAGGAGGGCAGAGAGCCCAGCCAGGCTCTCCCCGGCAGCCAGAGCACCGGGAGGAGGGCGCCAAGCCCGGCCGGGGCTCCGCTCTCCCCGGCGGCCAGAGCGCCGGGGGGAGGGCGGCGAGCCCAGTCGCGGCCCCGCTCTCGGGCCGGAGCGCTGCGGCGCGCCACCCCCCTCCAGGTGCCACCCCAAGCACATGCTTGGTGGGCTGGTGCCTGGAGCCGTCCCTGCTCAGAGGAGGGAGGGCAAAGAGGAAGGACCAATGGGGGGGGCCTCAGGGGGAGGGGGCCAAGAGGAGCGAGTGGCGGGTGGGTGGGGGGGGGCTCAGGGGAAGCGGCCAGAGCGGGAGCAGGGCCTCAGGGCAGAGGGGGAGTGGAACACCCAAACCAAAAGTCAGCTTCTGTGCAAGGAGCCACCGGATTTGTGGCCTAAAATGTAGAGTTGTCTCATTTAAAAACAAAAACCAAAACCATGGATGATGGTGGTGTTACCAATCCGAGAGCCATTCTTTGAAGGCTCTGCAAAGTGAGTCAGTTATCTGCTCTACAAAAATAACTAATTTCTGCATTACGGGGAACCTATTTTGTGTTTTGATTCACACCCCTCAGTTTCTCTCTGACGCTGAAAAATCCCCAAAACAAGAAGTGACTATCAGCAAAATCAAGCCAGTTTTGCAATTAACCCTCCCACTGACGCTTTAGCCACAATCTCCATTTCAATCTGTAACTTGAACCTGGCTCATTCTAAAGCCAGCTCAGGTTCACTGAAAATTCACCAGCCTCATCATCAGTGGCCTGAGTTCTGAGTATGTAACAAAATCCTACGCTGAGCAAATTTCATTCAAAAGCCTCATGCAGCTCTGCTTTTCCTGTTCTATCGGCCTTTTTCTGGACTGGCTGTCAATCTCCCAAGGGCCAGCCACATGCAACTAGCTTTTACAATGTGATTGAATGACTCGGGGTGAAGGACACACAGCACAAGACTAGAGGGGGTAAGACGTTCGAAATGATAACCGATCTGTTTCTTGAAAAGAGAGATTTTCACAACCTCTCTCATTACTACTATTTATTAATTTATTGTTTCTTAGTTTATCCTGTTTATTCAGGGAGAGTGCTCGGAGGCCACCACTCAGTGATGTGGGCCAGATTGCACTAGGCACTCTTACACACACATCATGAAAATACAATCCGAGCCCCAGAGAGCTTACAATTTAAGCTAAGGAGAGCAAATGCCAAATCATAAATCAAAGACAAAATCCAGCTGGCTTTAACAGGCACTTGAGGTCAGTCATTCAGTGTAGTTAGTGCTGAATATGTTTGGGTTGGAAATAATTTTGGGTGTAGAATGAGTCAGATGCATTTGAGAAGTGGGCACAGGTATGTCCCTTTATTGTTGTAATAAATCTCACAATCCTGCATCCCATCACTGTTCAGTAATCCATAATCATAGAATAGCAGGGACCTTAGGAAGTCATCTAGTCCAACCCCCTGCTTAAAGGGGGATCAATCCGCAGACAGATTTTTACTCCCTCAAGGATTGAACTCACGACCCTGGGTTTAGCAGGCCAATGCTCAAACCACTGAGCTATTCCTCCCAACTCATGGTTGTATGGGAGTGTGTTTCCACATTTGTCAAGCAGTATTTTTTCCTCCTAGTTGTAGGGAAAGCCCTGTAGCTCATCCCAGAGCAAGACAGATCCCTGCAGTTCAGCATCATTTATTTCTAAATAAACCAAAAAGAAAATATTGAAAAAAATATACAATAATTTCCTAATTTTAGAAGGTTTTAGAAACTGACACTACTTTAATGTAATTATTGCCAACAGTTCAAGGAGCTGTGGATTTGTTGCCCAAAATACACACACAAATGAAATTCACATGTAGAGGTATTGAGCCAACTTCCCAAAGGATGGCTTCCCACTGTGCATGGAAATACATGTTTGCATGCACAGATGGAAGTACCTGGGCCCGTAAGGGCTAGTTAGCACACAGTGAGCCAACGTGCTTGTCTGAGCAGCATCTGTGTGGGGTGGCGCCAGAGTACACACAATTTTGCGGCAACTCCATTGCTCCCTGCTTTGAATGTTTCACTCATCAGCAGAGAGAAGCCGAAACTAACACTTCAAAGCTAAGTTGGGCAGGAAGGGCAAGCTGACTAAAATCCCCTAATCCTGCCCCTCCATAGTTTTAATTCCAGGTCAGATTTTCAGACCAACTGGAGCCTAGTGGCTGGTCTGCAGGTGGCCTAGTGTCTCCAGAGATCTCACTGGAAGAACTGATCTCACAATCCTTCTGCCACCGGGGCTGAAGTTCTAGGAAAACAATTAGCAAGAGTTTAGCGCCACAAAATCAGAATCTTAGACCTGATTAATCTTAAATTTCAGCTTCAAACCCTAGAGGAAACCTAAGCCAATTCTGAATGCTGCAGCCTCCTGTTATTTCGGCTCATCCTCACCCCATTCCTCCCACTATACAGTATGCCCTTGAGCATGATCTGTCCATTGCCATTTCTACCACGCCGATCTCCAGGGTGTCTCAGGGCCACAAAGACTGAGATTTTGGAACAATGGTGGTGTTAAGGCCCTTATACATCTTCAGAGGGCTAGTCACCCTCTATTCTGTATTATACCACGTACAGCATGCTAGTTTTTCAATGTGAGCAAGCTGCAGCGTTTTAGCCTATTGCACTTTTAGTCCATAGTTTAACGTGCTCTGTGATTGGCATGAACAAAACCCTGAGTTTATTCTCAAGGTTGCTAAATTCTCTTTCTGCCCAGGCAGCCATACCTTGCTGTGACTGAGCGGGCAAGTTACTCTGTTTTAATGAGCATTTGTTTCCCCATGCTGCTACGTCTCACAGACCATCAAATCCACTGATCTCAGTGGCAAGCGAAGGCAGGATCTGCATGCCTGACCTTGGGAGGGATGGGGGATGGCTGAAAAAACGCTGAATCTAAAAAACAAAACCCCAAGTGTTTTATTTTAGGACTTCCTGTTGATGTATTTTATTGAAGTCATAGGAGTGGGGGAGAGGGGAGGGGCCATGGTTTTGGCAGCTAGATTCCGTTCAGAGAGAAATAAGGCTCTTGGTCTATACATGTAACAATACAGCTGCAGAACTGTTCTCTGATTTGTTTTATTGTCTTCAGAGATTGATCTTCCCTATCCCTGTAAAATATGAATCTAGACTTGCACCAGGTAAGAGCAAGGCTCCACTTTGCTGCCGAGTTTTCAGCACAGGGGTGAAGGCTTTTATGGAACTGAGTAATTCGCAGTAATTGGGGCTATGGAGTTCTCCTTAGCACATACTTTACAGATGTTGTCATATCCTGCCAGCAGTTAAGCTTTTGACAGCAGGTGGATGTTTTAGAGCCGGCATCCGTTCTGGCACTGAATTGTATTTTTTTTTTTGCCCTTTACCAGCACTATAAAAAGAGATCACAGCTGCATAATTTGGAGAGGGATTTGGAGCTGGAATGTTGGTTTGGACCATTCCAGAGACAAGAACCAACTGCTTCCAAAAACCAGAGGGTGCTCGGGTCCAACACTAAGCAGTGCTTTTATGTTCTGCTCTTTCATAGACTTTAATTCGATTTGGGATTTCTTTTTAAATGTCTCTTGTTTGCTGTTAGTCTGAGATTCAGGATATGGGGGCGGGGGGGTCAGATCCTCAGCTGATTACAGTGGCACTACCCTGGCCTACACCAACTGAAGAAGCCATGGTCTCTGTGCATGGCTTTGCTCTGATGGTAGTAAAATCCCTTTTAAAAAGCATGACATTCCTACTGTTGAGAACAGGGTGAGGAAGGAGCAGTTGCCTGGAAATGGACAAATCTGTACACATGCAGCGTTTCTTAAAGGGTAACATAATGTCATGGTTTTGTATATATCACAGCATGTATATTAAAGAATATAATTTGCTAAACTACCCGCAGTTCAGCGAATTGGAACAAAGCCATCATGGGTTTTTTTTTTTTTCCATTTTAGCAATTGTCATGTGTTCAACTCTATAGGTCATGTGGTGTCAGCTCACGTGCCTTCCATCTGATATGTCTCATCAGTTCTAATTTAGTTGAATTATAGGCAGGTGAGCTTAGTGTAAGATCAGGTACACGGCAAGCCAGCCAGCAGCAATCACAGGTGTGCTAGTTGCTGTTTCCATTGCGGCTATGAGGCATCTGACTGGCCTATGCTGGCAACAAATGTAAATCAAAGTGCAAGAACTTATTCCGGCCTTGTGCCACATGGGTAAAATGGCATAAGGCGCCATTGCTCTCCCTCCTCCATCAAGTCCCCAATGAACAGCATGTCAGGATTATTACCTAGCTCTCAGCAAACTGTTCCTGTGTCTTCCTCTGTGTTTGTACAGCACCTAGCACAGTGAGGCCTCCTGGTTGAGTTCTTTGCTTATTACAGTAACATAAATAATAATAAAAAGGGCTCATCTTCCACACTAACTGATTCATCACAGGCCTAGTGGGGTGCTTGTTGGTTGGGAGCCATGGCCAGGCCCATAGGCGCCTGTGCTGAAATCTGCTATAAGTTGCATGCTTGTTATCTTCTAAGGAGGAGTAAAGCGTTCCTAGCAGTTCATATCCCTTTCTTCCAAGTCTGTCCTGAACTGTCCTACTCTGTGCTGGCCAGTGACTCTGCTATTAGAAACACAGAAATGTAGGACTCGAAGGTACCTCAATAGGTCATCTAGTCCAGGCCCCGCACTCAAGGCATTACAAACTAAGTATATAATGGCGCTACCCATCCCTACTGCGCAGCTGCCCTGACATTTTTCATATCTAAGTTGAGTAGAAATAGGAATGTATGCAACGGGGATTGCTTAGGAATCCTTTCTCTTTTGTTGGACTAACATCTGATTAGAGAAAAGAACAGGAGTACTTGTGGCACCTTAGAGACTAACAAATTTATTTGGGCATAAGCTTTCGTGGGCTAAAACCCACTTCATCAGATGCATGCAGTGGAAAATACAGTAGGAAGATATATAGATAGATAGATAGATAAACAGAGAACATGAAAAAATGGGGGTTGCCATACCAACTCTAACAAGACTAATCAATGAAGGTGGGCTATTATCAGCAGGAGAAAAAAAAACTTTTGTGGTGATAATCAGGGTGGCCCATTTCAAACAGTTGACAAGAAGGTGTGAGTAACAGTAGGGGGGAAATTAGCATGGGGAAATAGTTTTTAGTTTGTGTAATGACCCATCCATTCCCAGTCTTTATTCAAGCCTAATTTAATGGTGTCCAGTTTGCAAATTAATTCCAGTTCTGCAGTTTCTCGTTGGAGTCTGTTTTTTAAGTTTTTTTGTTGAAGAATTGCGACTTTTAGGTCTGTAATTGAGTGTCCAGGGAGGTTGAAGTGTTCTCCGACTGGTTTTTGAATGTTATAATTCTTGACATCTGATTTGTGTCCATGTATTCTTTTGCGTAGAGACTGTCCGGTTGGCCAATGTACATGCAGAGGGGCATTGCTGGCACATGATGGCATATATCACATTGATAGATGTGCAGGTGAACTAGCCCCTGATGGTGTGGCTGATGTGATTAGGTCCTATGATGGTGTCCCTTGAATAGATATGTGGACAGAGTTGGCAACGGGCTTTGTTGCAAGGATAGGTTCCTGGGTTAGTGTTTTTGTTGTGTGGTGTGTGGTTGCTGGTGAGTATTTGCTTCAGGCTGGGGGGATTGGCCTGTCTCCCAAGATCTGTGAGAGTGAGGGATCGTCCTTCAGGATAGGTTGTAGATCCTAGGTGATGCGCTGGAGAGGTTTTAGTTGGGAGCTGAAGGTGACAGCTAGTGGCGTTCTGTTACTTTCTTTGTTGGGCCTGTCCTGTAGTAGGTGACTTCTGGGTACTCTTCTGGCTCTGTCAATCTGTTTCTTCACTTCAGCAGGTGGGTATTGTAGTTTTAAGAATGCTTGATAGAGATCTTGTAGGTGTTTGTCTCTGTCTGAGGGATTGGAGCAAATGCGGTTGTATCTTAGAGTTTGGCTGTAGACAATGGATCGTTTGATGTGCTCTGGATGAAAGCTGGAGGCATGTAGGTAAGTATAGCGGTCAGTAGGTTTCCGATATAGGGTGGTGTTTATGTGACCATCGCTTATTAACACTGTAGTGTCCAGGAAGTGGATCTCTTGTGTGGACTGGTCCAGGCTGAGGTTGATGTGGGATGAAAATTTAGAGGAATGTTTTGCTTCCTCTGTCAATGGGTCACGTTCGGGCCCCCCACTGAGAAGCATTCTGGGTGGGAGCTCAGGGATCATGGAGCGTGGTCCACATGTTGTTGTACATTTACACTCCCAGTCCTCCTCCACCCTCAGTGTGCAGTTCGTTCTGCAGCTGGCCAGAATAGGGGTGCACATTGCTTTTGCAGAGCATAGGTCATATCCCCAGTTGACACAAGCTGAGGGCCTGGTCCATTGCGGCAGTAGCACTTTGAACGGGTAAAAAGCTAGGTATGTGCTTGAGGAAGTAGTAGTATTGTTGTTTATTTGTTTTATCGTGGTGCTGTACAAACACTGAACGAAAAGATGGCCCCTTCTCCAAAGAGTTTACAAGCTAAGTATAAGACAAGAGACAACAGATGGACTCAGACAGGAGTACAAGGAAACAGTGAGACATTGGTCAGTATGTCTCTGCATGCCAGCAGCCATCACACACCAGCATTACCATCCTACCCTTGTGTCTAATGGATCATATTCTGTGCCCTGTCATCCAACCACAATATAGACACAGCACAAGAGCCCCATATGGCTCCATAGCATTATTTATGTCATGGTAACATCAGACCACAACTGCTGTTGAGAGGAACTGTTGTTTTGTTGGTGCACTTCAGAGTGACACATGCGGCGATGGCTTTAGCTGTTCTAATCATGATCTGGTTTTCTTTCTCTTACGCTAGCACATCAATAACGATCACATCCACGGGGAGAAGAAGGAGTTTGTCTGCCGCTGGCAAGACTGCACTCGGGAGCAGAAGCCATTCAAGGCTCAGTACATGTTGGTGGTGCACATGCGAAGACACACTGGAGAAAAGCCACACAAGTGCACGGTGAGCCAGTATGGGGGACTCGTGTCCACATGAATGTATATCTGGACACAGACTAGAGAGTCACACCAAAGCTCTATGAATGAACCCTCCCCCTCATTCTGGGCAAGTTCAGATCCAATTTTTCAGCGCTAATGGGCTTTTTTAAGTCCTTGCAGGCTGTCCCCTGGGGACGTTAAAGTTAATGGAGAGGAAGGTTGGTCCAGTGGTTATGGTGCTAGCCCAGAATTTGGGGAGCCCTGGATTCAACTCCCTGCTCTGCTACAGACTTCCTGTATGACCTTGGGCAAATCACTTAGGGACAGATTTTTAAATGTATTTAGGCACCTAGCTCCCTTTGAAATCGGTGGGAGTTAGGTACTTAAATACCTTCAAAAATGTGGCCCTTAGCATCTCTGGGCTCCAGTTCCCTATCTGTTAAATAAGGATAATCCTTTCCTATCTCACAGGGTGTGGTATTGCATGTTCAGCTTTCCACCTAGGAATCTATTTCCCCCCCACTGAAGATTAAGTAATCTGGTGATTTACACCCATAAATTAAGACTAGGCTGGGCCAGTTCCTTGGTGGAGTGAATCGGCGTAGCTCCCTTGAAGCCAATTTCTGTATAAGATATCCACATTCGCAGACCAGCGCTTAGCTGTGGGAACATCTGGTTTGAGCACCCAAGGATTTGGCTGTCCTGTTCAGATGCCATTATTTGAAAATTGGGCCACAGTGGGAACACTCTTAATTAGCTGCATTACTGTGACAATAGCCAGTATTGCTAGAACACCTCAGTGATGCTCACTTACCAGTGATTTCCAGTAAGTTGAGTGATATTTTTCAACACCTGTAAATGACATATGATGTCACATGCATAGGGTGAGAGAACAAAAGTAATTATATTCTGTTAACTCATGGTTATGACGTGCTGAATGAAACAAATGTACTAGAGGAAGCTTACCACTCAGAAATGTACTAGAGGAAGGGTAGGCACTCAGAGACTATGGTAATGGGCACAATGTGAGACCCTAATTAGAACAGAATTACCTGTGCAAATGTGGTCCTTCGTTTTATCTAAACAGTTATACATCTTAACCTTGACAATTGCATCCATCATTAAATTGGACTATAGCATTCCTATAGTATAGGAATGGTTGCAAACACTGTGGCGGACAACAGTGTCTGGAGCCATTACTATAGTTCTTTTCTATAAGAGATTAACACCACGATTCATGGCTCTTCATGCTCATTTTGATCAGTGTTCTAGACTGGCGAGAGAGGCAAAAAGGTTCCAACAAAAGTTCCTGTTTCTCCTGAATGGTACTGAACTAGTCAATGAATTAACTTTTGGTTCTCCAGAACAGGCCTCTTTTGATTGCCAAGACTTTCATAAATGGCAGCCTGAAGTGATCCTCCTAATTCCAGTTAGGCAAACTGATTAAAATGAGCCCCCTGTGGGCCCCAGAGATTGAAATGGGAGCTGTGGACATTTTTGAAATTCAGATCCTTCCATAGTACAAACAAGGAGAGTCAGCCAGCACTGGATGGTGGTGGGACTTACATCATTGAAAATCTGGTGATGTCTCTGGAGTGGCTCTTTCTCTGGGAAGTTGCTTTCTTTCCAGGCCCCTGGCCTGTGGTGCCATCCAAGAATCCATTAAGATTGAGGATCTTGGTTTTTAAGATGGTAATGTCAGGCAGGCTGACCTCAGAGCCCTCAGGAAAGTGGAACCATACTGTAATTAGGGAAACTTCAAAGTTTGCTATTTTAACTCTTTTCCTTTAGAAAACTGGCTTGTCTCACAAGCTTTGGAGCTAGTGAAATGGAGACACCTTGGTCAAGATTTTCAAAAGCAGCTAGTGATTAGTGGGGGGCCTCCATTTTTGGATGCATGACCTGAAACATCTTAAAGGGGAGCCTAATATTCAGAGAACAGGAGCTCAGCCCTGCCTGAAAATCAGATTCTTGTCAGGTATCTATCACGAGTTGGGCACCCAAAATTTGAGGAGCCCTAAATCACAAACCTCTTTTGACAATTTTGCTCTGCCCAGGAAGGAAAAGCTCTCTCAACAAAGTGAATGTTAGTTTGTAAAACACAGGCTCCTTAAAAGGGAAAAGAAATGGAAAGCAGATGAGGAGGCAAAAACCACCACTGTGGTTGATGAATCGCTCCCATTGTGTTTTTATTTTAGTTTGAGGGTTGCGCCAAAGCCTATTCCCGACTGGAGAACTTAAAGACACACCTGAGATCTCACACTGGAGAAAAGCCGTACGTCTGTGAACATGAGGGCTGCAATAAAGCCTTTTCCAACGCTTCGGACAGAGCAAAGCACCAGAACAGGACGCATTCCAATGAGGTAAACCCACCCTCACCACAAGTGTTGTGGATTTGTAACAAAATTTTTGCTGACAATATACAATTTACATGCTGGACTCGTGTAAAAAGGAATTTACCATAATGAAAGACTTTTATTTTTTTTACTTGGATTTATTTGGTGCAGAGCCAGACCGCATTAGCTTTATATTTATGAAAGCCATGTTAGAAACTATAAATAGATGCTGAAGTATGCAAATTTTCTGATTGGCTTTTGAAATTAAAGCTGGTGCTTTCCAAATTCATAATTTTTAATAGCCCAAACAGGGTCCTACATTTTTGTACCTTGCTTTTTAACATGATTGCAGCATAGACTCATAGTGGTGTGATTTCTACCCTGGGTCCTGACGCTTTGGAAATAGTCGCACCTGCATCTTTTGATGTACAATGATAAAGTGTGATGCAATGCTTTGTTAACCCTGGCTAATTAAGACCCACTATTAGAAGTTGGGGAATGCAGGAAATTGCCTTTATTGTAACGCATTTGATGGTCTGCTGCAAACGGCTAAGGCTGAAGATTAACAATTATATTACTACTAATTAGCAGACGACGGGAAGGGGGAAAAAACAGTGTTCTAGAGTTCTAGTAATGTTTGCAACCATGAAGGAACAAGTCTGTAGCCTAATTTGTAGCAGTTAAATATGAATCATTGGAGAATGGAATAAAGTAATTTCAATGGATGACAGAATTTTAAAGCAATACTATATTACCCAGTGATAAGCAAACTTCAAAAGGTTTCACGGATTTGGTTCAGATGGGAATAAGCACTCCAAAGTTTTGGATGCTTCTCTGAGCTATTTTAACTAGAGAAGGACCCAGATGAACAACCCAGATCCAAACGTCTTTCCAGGTATTCAGATCTGAATCCAAATATCTAGGCTGACCTCTCTCAGTGATAAGCTGGTGGGTAAGTTAGAGCTGCTCCCTTGCAAATCTGATTTGTACCAGGGCTGGGCAGCTCGAGACTTATAAATTCATAGACTCGAAGGCCAGAAGGGACCATTAGATCATCTAGTCTGCCCTCCTGTGTATCACAGGCCATTCAGTTGCACCCACTACCCCTATAGTGAGCCCAGTAACTTGTGGTTGGCTAAAGCATATCCTCCAGAAAGACATCCAGTTTTGATTTGAATACAACAAGAGATGGAGAATCCCCCAGTTCCCTTGGTAGTTTGTTCCAATAGTTAGTCACCCTCACTGTTAAAAATTTGTGATCCATTTGAATTTGGCTGGCTTCAGCTTCCAGCCATTGGTCCGTGTTATGCATTTCTCCCCTACATTAAAGAGCCCATTAGTTTCTGATATTTACGTCCCATGAAGGTATGGAGACGCTGTAATCAAGTCACTCTCACTCTTCTTTTGGATAAACTAAACAGATTGAACTTTTTAAGTCTCTCACTGTAAGACATTTTCTCCAGCCCTTGAATAATTTTTGTGGTTCTTTTTCACCCATCTCCAATTTTTCAACATCCTTTTAGAAATATGGACACTAAAACTGGACACAGTATTCCAGGATTGGTCTCCCCACTGCCGGGGACAGAAGTGAAATCAACTCCTACTCACTACTCCCCTGTTTATACATCCAAGAATTGCTTTAGCCCTTTTTGCCACAGCATTGCACTGGGAGCTTGTGCTTTGTGGCTCGTCCACTTTGACCTCTAGATCTTTCTCAGAGTCATGGGTTTCCAGGATGCAGTCCCGCATTTCTGTAGGTATAGCCTGAATTCCTTGGACCTGGATGTATAACTTGGCATCTGACTGCATGAAAATGCATTTTGTTTGAATGGATCCAGCTTACCAAGCAATCCACAGAGCTGCAATAGGTCTCTGATAGCCCTCGCACTACTTGTATGCAGTGTATTTGGAGCTGTGTCAGTCCCAGGATATTAGGACACAGGGTAGGTGAAGTAATATCTTTTACTGGACCAACTTCTGTTGGTGATAGAGGGTACGTCTACACTTACTTCCTGGTTCGGCGGCAGGCAATCGATCTTCTGGGATCGATTTATTGCGTCTTGTCTAGACGCGATAAATCCCGGAAGTCGGCGAGAGGAGTACACGGCATCGACGGGGGAGCCTGCCTGCCGCGTCTGGACCCGCGGTAAGTTCGGACTAAGGTACTTCGAATTCAGCTACGTTATTAACGTAGCTGAATTTGCGTACCTTAGTCCGAAGTGGGGGGTTAGTGTGGACCAGGCCAGAGACAAGCTTTCGAGCTTACCAGAGCTCTGTGTGACTCGAAAGCTTGTCTCTCTCACCAACTGAAGTTGGTCCCTCACCCACATTGTCCCTCTCCTAAGAACATAAGAACAGCCATACTGGGTCAGACCAAAGGTCCATCTAGCTTCACATCCTGTGTACTCAGGCTAGACCACAATTTCACATTCAGAAAAGGCGGAATTATCCATCAATATTCACAAGAAATTAGGCCCAGATTCCCCAGGTTTGTCCCCATCAGTTTGTAACAAAACTGTTAGGAATATGGTTCAGTCTCTTATTGCTTTCATGGCATCAGGTTTCCAGGCTGCCAGTTTATCACTACTTTGGCTGCCATTCGTTTGAAATGAGGAAATGTGCCCGTGTGTTATCAATGAACCCATTAGGATATCGCAGCTGTGGATTTTCCAGGGAAGAGATGTCTAGTGTTGTTCCAGAAAATTGTTCTTTAACTCCATCACCCCACTGTGGTGCAAACCTGCTGGCTCACTGAAAAGTTCAAGGTGACGCAAGTCTGCAGCTATTAGGCTACATCTACAGTACAGCTGGGAGTAGGCTGACCAGATAGGAAGTGTCAAAAATTGGGACAGGAAGTGGGTGCCTTTGTGAGAAAAAGACCCAAAAATCAGGACTGTCCCTATAAAATCGGGACATGTGGTCACCCTAGCTGGGAGGTGTGATTCCCAGCTCAGGTAGACGTACACGCACTAGCTCTGATCGAGCTAACATGCTAAAAATAGCAGTGAATCTGCAGCAACACAGGCAGTTTACACAGGCTAAGCCCACCTGCCCAGGACCCTGGGTACACACTCAAGCAGCTGCTACCTAGCTAGATCAAAACTTTCTCAGGCGTGTCTACACATGCTCCAATCATATCTCCCTATTGCAGTGTAGACATACCCAAAGAGACATTTTTCCCCAACTCGAGCTGAAATTCAGTTGAACTCTAGAAATCCAGTGCCCCTGAGTTTCTGAGAAGGCTTGTGATGATTCCACCGGCCGAAGAGATGTAACTTTTCAAGTATTTGAGAAGGATTTGGAAGGAGATATTGGAACTGTTTGCCGGGCTTGAACCGGCAAAAGCAGAGCATTCCAAACACCAGATACCTCTGTTTGAACAATGCTTAAGATATTTTGTAGGCATCCCAGACATCCCAAATTTCAATATTCAATATCAAACAGAGCTATTATCTACTCCCTGACATTAGGGCTAAAGGACCTTTGTAAGTCATCATCTCCTATTCCCTTTTCCCTAATGCAGATTATAATAATATTAATAATACTTCTATATTGCCCCATCCAAGAATCCAAGTGAGCATTACAAACATTAATTCATTAAATCACCACAGCACCCTGTGAGGTAGATACTTATCTCCCCATTTTACAGATGGGGAAACTGAAGCACAGAGAGTTAAAGTGACTTACCCAAGATCAGCCAGGAAGTCTGTTGCAAGAATAGATCTCTAGTGCTGTTCATGTGATTGTGCTGGTTTAGTTTTGTTTGTTGGCTGGTTTTGTTGGGTTTGATTTTACCCAAAACTAACTAACTGACTAAATAATTCTCCCCCCCCAGCAATTTTACGTGTGCTTTTCAGTCAACTTGGAAAATAGATACCTAACTAATAGAAATGGCCATTTTTGGTTAACCTTAGGAAACCATTTATGTATTGTTCCTTTAGATGGATCCATTCCAATGTCACAGTGGAAAAGTACGTAGAGCAATTGTGAGGCTGAAGTGGTGCTTGTGATCAATTCAACCCTTCAAAAGCAGCACTAGCTTTCACAGCTTTGGTGCTCGTGCACATTGGAATTGGAAAGTGGATAAATCAAAGTTTTTTTAAAAAAAAGAAAGGATAGCTACTTGCTAACTTCGGTTTCCAAAAGTCTGGCCTCAGACTTGCTTTGCTGCAGTGATCAATGATTCATGATTCCAGGAATACAATGCCATTGCCTTAAAAAGTATTGCGTGCCTGTGGTTTGTTTTGCACAGTAACAGATTTCAGAGTGATGGGTGCTGGAGATATACGAAAGACTAGACAGACAGAATCCAGTCTGGCTTAGTTTCTCTGGATTTCCATAGATCAGGAGGTCTCAAACATTTTCCCAGAGTAGACACCATCTTAACGGAGAGATTGTCTTGTAGACAATCCCCTGCAATTCCAATGACTCAGACCACCTCCCCTCCCATCCACAATCATGAAACATTCCTGTGGCAACAAATGCTTAGATGGAAAAGTAATATTAGGAAAGTATTTTGTGAATTTTTAGCTGTCTTTGAATTTAGCAGCCCAAAACAAGAAGTAAAGCCAGTACTATGCGACTAGCCAGGTCTCTGTGGCTCACCACCCAGTTTTCCATGACCACCAGCAGAACATGGATCACAGTTTAGAAATCTGCTGCAGATGATTTGCAAGATCCTAAGAGGCAGATTCTTCACTTTTTTTGCTGGCAGCATCATGTTCATTGTGTTCTGTAAGGACATGACTTATCTTTGTCCACAAAGCATGTCCACAATATTTCAGTCTGCTTTAAAAATAACCTCACATTTGTCATATCGACAGAAACCCTATGTCTGTAAAATCCCGGGCTGCACAAAGAGATACACGGACCCCAGTTCCCTCAGGAAACACGTCAAGACTGTGCATGGGCCCGATGCCCATGTCACAAAGAAGCAGCGCAACGACGTTCACCCACGGCCGCCTCCCCTCAAGGAAAATGGCGACAACGAAGCAAGTGCCAAGCAGAGTAGCAAGGTGTCAGAAGAGAACACTGAGGCTAACAGCACCACCAGAGGCATGGAGGACTGCTTACAAGTCAAAACAATAAAGACCGAGAATTCTGTGGTAAGAGAAGCTGTTGTTTAAAAGATAAGAGTATGGTTTGTAATTTCTCGGAGACACAGGAGAAAAATGTAAAGTTGCAGCCTTGTTCCTCCTCATGCATTTGCCATGCACTCAGAAATTTGCAGGACGATCCCAGTTTTCAAGGTCCCCAACCCTAAATTTAAGATTGCAGGACAGTTAAGAGTCCCCAGTGTATTTTGTGTCTTGTTACACAGCAACACAGAGCCCAAGGTGAGATATTTGTAACATTGCTGATACGTCATGATAGGATGATGAATGAATGCGTCAGCCCATGCGGCCTTAATTCCATGCCACGAAGGTGAAAATATGACAATAACATGTCATCATAATACAATATCTTTTGTCCCCCAAGACACTTTAAATCAGGCAGTAGTCTTATTTCCTTTCCAAGTCAGCTGCACGTCATTTCATTAAATCTGTGTGTTTCTGTGTATTACACAGTAGTTAGAGGAAGTCAAGAGTCTTGCTGCACCATAACTCTTTCACATTTCAACATTTCTCCTTCTCTTAGCAGCCAAAAAGACAATTTTTCTGTAAAACAAGAGGCAATAAATGGCTGAACTAAAGTCACTTTCACCTGCTAGAGTTCATTCAGTCCCCGGGTTTCTCACTGGAGTTGAGAGAACTTCACAAGCCTTTGAGACTCAAAGTATACAGTTTCTTGATTTTAAGCCAGGCTAAAATGTTTCCATTTCTACCAGTCAACATGGCTTTGCACTATAAAAGGGCTAGATGCCATGCTCTTGGCTGATACTGTGACGATATATGAGTTTAGTCCAGGAAGGAATTGACTATTTTCACAGCCAGAATGGCTTTTATTTATTTCACCTTCACATGCTCCTGTGTTCATTGAAAAACTCAGTGTAAGAATAAGTCTCACACACACACACACACACAGTGTTTTTCTAAGAAAATATTTCTCCCCTGCTTTCCCTAACGGTGATTTTTCTAACAGACTGTAGGTCAAGTTCTTTCTATAGTTACACCCTGTACAACTCCATTGGTGTTAGGCACAGTGGGCAACCCTTCCTTTCTGTTACACCCACGGAACCCCTTTGACTTCACTTGGGCTGCATGGTGTAACGAGGGCAGTACCCAGCTCACTGTGCCTATCGACAACATATGTATCTATCTGTATTTACTACTTGTTTCAATTCAAATCTCCGAAGCCCTGGGATGGAGCTAGTGACTGGTTGATTGAAATCACTTGTAATGGTGTCTGGGGGTCCCTCTTTCTGACCCAAAATTCGGTCTAATCTAAAATCCACCAAGGTCTGTGAAAATTCACTGGGATTTGGATCCAGGTACATTAAGAGGTGTTCAATTAAATGTGCTGACTTCTGAATTGGGGTGGGGTGGGTGTCAGGAAAAAGAATGCTGCTAATTTACCCTGAATTGTGCACTCCCCTCTACGCTCTTTCACTAATCTTCTCCCTTTCGTTAATGTTCTCTTTATTCTAACTACCTGTTCTTTGTTCCCACTTACCTTTCCTTACTGTACCTTCCTAAGGACAGTCGGTACTAAGGTGAGCAAAGAAATTCTTTGTATTGAAATCGTTGTATAAAAATGTGATATATTCTGTACTGTGCATTTACAGCTAACCAAACCGAGCTAGTGTGTAAATGCAAAGGGAGTGAGGAGGTGTAGGTGGGCAGCCAGTAAGGGGCAATTGGGGGAGAGTCCAGCAGCTCTTTGTCAGTGTCCCAAGAATTCCCCTTAGTTAATTCGTCTCAGCATTACACCCCAGCATTGCACTCCTGGAATGTAACCTCTGTCCTTCCAATGAAAGGAAACTGGACCCTTTAAAGCCAGGCAGCCCTGCTATTTAGGGCTGGTTTTGATCAAAATAAGGCACTCCCTCTCCCGACACTCCCACCTGGTCCTGGGGCTAAATATGTTGCTTCTGCAGCATTCCCAGGTTGTGACAATCTCTGGAGCAAGAGTTCAGGACCAGGAATTGAGAACCCTGGCATCTTCCCTAACAATGAAGAGTGCTGTGACCAAGCAAGTTCAGACCATTCAATGTTTGTTAAAAATAAGTTGCTCAGTGTGAAATGTCATTTCTAATGCAAGTAAAACAAACCTTTATGGCACTTATCTACCCCATCTGTAAGTGGGAGTTTGCAAACAGCAAACCATGTTTTTATCCGTCTAGAAAGATTGTCAGCTAAACTAATTACATGTTAAGGTATTTAAAAGACAGAAATATGTTGTGCCTGAAACACTTAGGACTTGATCCTATGTTAGATAAACTGGTGCTCATTGCAGTTGTACTTTGCACAATCTGCTAATGCACTAGCTTATCTTAATGAAGTATCAACCCTTTATCTACTGCAGCAGCAATGTTTGGTTTGTCTCTATGGGCAAAATGAAACACACCAAAGATTTTTAACCCATAGGGGTTTTATGCAAATGCTTGTGAATTAAAAAAAAAATCCATCCAAATTTGTTAAAGTACTGCTGTTTTTAAATAAACCTAGTGCCCACAGCATGAAACTATAATGCCAGTTGGCATTAATTAGCATACTGGCCTTGTCAGCAGCAAAGACTGGATGTGGAAACTAAACTATTCACCCCCACCTAGAAAGTGCTCCGTGGCTGCAGAACAGAGCTGAGATGTGGCAGTGGGCAGCATGTGTGTATGGGGAAGGAGGTGACCACATGTTCCCTGTATCAAATGTGTTGATAAATAGGAGACTTCAGTCTCCAGGTCCGTGTGTGTGTGTGTTCCAAAGCTGTGTTTTCAACTGCAGAACTCAGACCTTCTATTATTTCTCCTTTCCAAGATGTGTCAGTCCAGTCCTGGTGGCCAGTCATCATGCAGCAGTGAACCATCACCACTTGGTAGCACCAACAACAATGACAGTGGAGTAGAAATGAACATGCACAGTGGGGGAAGCCTGGGAGACCTGACCGCACTGGATGACAACGTTCCTGTTGTGGACTCGACAGTCTCATCGGGCAATTCAACAGTCAGCCTTCAGCTAAGGAAACACATGACAACGATGCAGCGACTTGAACAACTCAAGAAGGAGAAACTCAAGACGGTTAAGGATTCCTGCTCATGGGTGAGCCCAGCTCCACAAGTCAGAAACACCAAGCTGCCTCCCATACCAGGAAATGGTAAGCCATGGTCCTGTGTTCTTCCCGCTGTTAGACTCCCTCAGGCCATGTCCCATGTCTCACAGTGAAGGATCTGCCCTAGAGCAGAATCATTTCCCTGCCTTTCAGCATCACTCCTCACAGAATAAAGATGAGCTGTCTCATAAAAGGACCACTCAGGTATGAACTCAGCCATATAATTTTGGGTAGGATTCCCAGGGTTGCCCAAGGCTAGTTTGCACCTGCCCCCACCTTACCCCAGTGGTGGAAATTACAGCAGCCCTGTGCTATCAGTAACAATCCCCTGTGGGCTGTTTTGCTGAGGACTGCTAGAGCAGAACAACAATCTAGCCATGCCCCCATCCCTGGCCATGACTTTGTCCTGCCCCTATATCAGGTGGGGAGCTCAGTGGTGGTGGCATAGAGCCACCTATGCTAGTTTTAACTTCTATGCCAGCTGGAGATTCCTGACTAGGACAAATTAATGATCATTTTGTGCCTCTCCAGCTTATCAAAGGAAAAGTCCCTGGGCAGATGATCTGTCCTGAGAGTTTACTGTATAGGAGCTTCTTGAATTGCTCTGGGAAAAATCTCAGAAGGGTGCATGAATTTCTAGTATTGAGCAATGAGACCTCTGCCTCTGAATTTTTGAAACCAGTTTGAGTGACTGGTCATATGACCAGGCTTGGAAACCACATGTTATGCCTGTAGTGTCTTTCATTCTGCCTTATAAAAAGAAGCCCATAGGAATGCTCTCCTCATCGGTTGCAGTGGCAATGAAGCAAACACTGGAAAAGACTCTGTAGCAGCGACTCAATTAATTTCCTGAGTACATCTCACTGTCCTCTTTCCCTGCCCTGTACTGTCCCTTGTCTCATAGGAGCAGAGCTGCAGACAATGTGCTGACTCCATTACCAGTTAGTCACGTTTACATCACTCTTCTTAAGCAGACATTTGCTGTTGGGTAACACACACAGATCTGTATTTAGACCCCAAGCACAACAATGAATGTAATGTAGCTATTTACCCCAAAATAGCCCTCTCAGCTAACAAAACCATTTTTCTTCCCCCCAACCCTCTTCCAGGCTCTATCCTAGAAAATATTGGTGGTTCCTCTGCTACACTGCCTAATCCTAGAATAACGGAGCTGTCTGTAAATGAGATTACGATGCTGAATCAGCTCAATGAACGCCGTGACAGTACGACAAGCACCATCAGCTCGGCCTACACTGTCAGTCGCAGATCATCGGGGATTTCCCCTTACTTCTCTAGTCGCCGTTCCAGCGAAGCTTCGCAGTTTGGGAATCGTCCCAACAACACGAGCTCTGCCGACTCCTACGACCCGATTTCTACGGACGCGTCACGCAGATCGAGCGAAGCCAGCCAGTGTAGCGGCATACCAGGCCTTCTCAACCTCACGCCAGCTCAGCACTACAGGCTGAAAGCCAAGTACGCTGCTGCCACGGGGGGCCCTCCTCCCACACCTCTACCTAACTTGGAAAGAATGAGTCTGAAGAACAAGATCTCTCTTCTCGATGGGCCGGATCCTGCTTTGCCTTCATTTCGCCTCCCTCCTGGGCCAAGACGCTGTAGCGATGGCAGCACTTATGGGTACGCAGCAGCCCCGGCTTTTCCCCATGACGTGTCAGGTAACAACACAAGACGCGCGAGTGATCCTGTGAGGAGACCCGCCGCAGATCCACTGTCCCTCCCTAGAGTCCATCGCTTCAATAGCACCAACAGCATGAATCCCCTCCACCCACCACATCCTGCGGACAGAAGGAACTGCAGCCTTTCAAATTACACACGTTCTGATGGGAGCCTTCCCAGGCACGTCTATTCACCTCGACCTCTGAGCATTAGTGAAAATATTACCATGGAAGCAATGTCAGGTGAGACGGAGGGCCCCATTGGAGAAGATGACATTATGCTGCCAGATGATGTAGTGCAATATATCAAATCTCAGAACAATGGGACAGCTGTAGAAAACACTTCCATAGGGTACAGTAATGAAATGCTAAACTTCCAAGGCAATGGGAAACTGCAACATCAGAACTTGTCTAGCCAGCACAGGATGGCTGGAACTGATGCAAGCGTGAACCATTTGGGTCCAGGGGTGACAGAATGCCACATGAGCTTTGGTGCTCCCTCGAACATGAGCAAAAACAACATGCCCGTCCAGTGGAATGAGGTTAGCTCAGGTACCGTTGATGTTATGTCTAACCAATCGAAGCAACAGTTTTCTCAAGGAAACTTAGCTGTTGTCCAGCAGAAGCAGAACTTTGGTCAGTATCAGAACTTTAACCAGCAGCAAATGCAGATGAGTCAAAGCGGCATGAATGTAACACAGCAGAATTTTATGCAAAGAAATGTGAGCATGGATGGACAAAGGCTAAACTGTATGCAGCTGAGGCAGCAGCAGATAAATCCAGGCCCTAATATGAACTCCGATTTGAGCCTGCACCAAGGGTATAACCAGGCTCATCAAATGCTGAGCCCAAATGCAATCAGTGGAGATCCAAACCAGCTTTCCCCTTCTTGTAGCAACATGGTAGTGAAGTCTGGATCCCACGTTCATCCTCAGCAAATGGACGTTGCGACAGATCCCTCTTTAATGGTCAACAGTAATAGACTGACTCAGGTCATGCATGAACAAAGTCAGCAGAACTATTCATCTCAGACAAATCCCATGAATTTCCCCATGACTCAGGAGGTGTTTTATCAGCCCCCTTCTTTAATGACCTCAAATCAGCCAAACTTTGAGCCCCAACAGAGCATAATGGGTTCAGCTGGCCAGACCTACACTCCTGGAATGGTACAGCCTCATCCTCCACCTGACCCTAGTCCAGTAAACAGGCATAGAGGGATACGCAACATGCAGCAACTCGGTTACATGAGAACTCCCCACCCTACTAACGCCATGAGCCCTGGCCAGGAAACAGCAAAGGCCACTCCGAAAAGAACCAACAATATGGTGTCCGTGCAGGCTCAGCAATGTGCAAACAGCACGAGGGAAAACAATTTGATGTACTATTATGGTCAAATCCACATGTATGAACAAAATGGAAACTTTGATAACCATGTGGACTGTAGAGTGGGACAGCAGCAGTGTGCCTTGAATATCAAGCCAGCTGCCATGCCGTCTCCCGGAGCTAACCAGGTGTCAAGCACAGTGGACTCACAGGGTCTGGAGCCTGCTCAGATAGATTTTGATGCCATCATGGATGATGGAGACCATTCAAGCCTGATGTCAGGAACCCTCAGCCCTAGCATTCTGCAAAATCTCTCCCAGAACTCCTCTCGCCTTACAACTCCACGGAACTCTCTGACACTGCCGTCCATACCAGCTGGAATAAGCAACATGGCGATAGGTGACATGAGCTCCATGCTAACCACCCTGGCAGAAGAGAGTAAATTTCTTAACATGATGTCCTAATGATAAAGCCCCACGGTTTATCCCAGGGACTTTACACAAAGCAGTTTTATGAATGTGCTTTTTAAAAATAATCAGTTTCTATAGAGTAGCATTTTTGAGAAGTATTAAATACATTAAAGGGATTCAAAGTAAAAAATGTCTCTGTACAGACTTATGTAAACTATCTAAAAGCAGTTTAGCACCAAGAGTGCAACCTCTAGTATTATTTTTTTGCTTGGTTTTTCAGGGGTCTGAGCAACGCCACCGCCAAATGAGAATATTGCATAAGAATGGTTAAAAATGAAATCTTTTCCTCCGTGTTTGCCACCTCCCTTTGTTTTCTTTTAGTTATGTCTGCAAAAAGCCCATTCTCAACGCATGTCAGAAACAAATGGAGGGGTGTCTTTTTGATCTGAATAAAAGCCATACTGCGTATTCTGCTCCAGTGAGATAAGCATTTAGTTACATCTCCCCAAAAGTCCACTTCCAGCAATATCATTATAAACTGTTCTTTGTACCTTGCGACTTTGTAGAAAAGCATCAGTTCCAAACAGCTTCTCAGAAAAGTGCCTTACTAGTGTTTAGTCAAGGCGTCTCTTCCATTAAAAGCAAATATAGTGTATATAAAATCAAAAGAAATGTGCATTTATAAAGCATAGCAGTGTTTCGGAAAAACATCAGGAAGATACATTGTTGGGACACATGAAAGATTAATGCCCCCTTTTGTCAGACATGTTTACAATACGGTTTATATCATGGGTAGAATGTAGCAGAGGCCTGAAAATACCATTCATCTGAAAGCATCTCTAATGGCAGGAAAGCCCCGATCCTGCAAAGGTTTATGCATTTGCTTAACTTTATGCCCTGTCAGTAGTGACTTCAGTAGAATACTGACTTTCGTCTGGGGCCTTAAACAACTTGTGTAAATCAGGGGGTTATATGGGAATTAATTCAGGGAAGCCTATGGTCTGTGTTGTACAGGAAGTTGGACTAGATGATCACAGTGGTCCCTTCTAGTCTTAAACTCTGTGAATCTATGAAAATTGCTAATGGGGCTTCACAACAGCTCAGCTCTAATTTGTCCTCACCGGGGTGATGAGGGGGGGGGGCATATAATTACTTAGCTAGCTTTGGACTTGTCTGCACAAACAATTAGGTCACGACAAGGTGAGGTGTGACTCTACCCCGCACTAGCCTGCCTCGGACTAACTATCCACGTGGATCTTGCTGATGCACATTAACAGTTCTTAGTGCACTTTGGTCTGGTCCTCTTTGAAACAGGACTAGATCCAAGCGCCCCGATGAACGGTTAATGCATATCAGTAGGGCCTACCTCACAAGCTAGTGCAGGGTTGATTCATACCCCAACTTGCCACAAACTAAATGTTCATGTAGACGAGCCCTTAGTCAAATGTCTGGGATTTGTAGTGGGGTATCAGAGCTGTGGGTGAAAGCCTCTCTGAAAATTACCCATAGGAGGAATCTAACCACAAGCAAATCCTCCACAAAATATAAGCTGGCTAACAGTTTTTGCAATTTTAGGGCCTGATCCTGAAGTCAGTGGAAAGACTCCTCAATGCATTATTTATTACTGTTGGTAGACAAAAGGGTAAACAGACCTCAATGAAATTTACCACATCTCAAAAAGACAATTCTTTTCTTCCTAGTATTATAGTGTTAAGTATATCAAGAGGAAGGGTACACACGTGAAATTCCCTCCTGATTCCAAACATCCTGTGTGCTGAACTTTAAAAAACTAAACCAGATGTGCATGATGTCTCATCAGCAGGGCTCCATGCTTTCCCGCTCAATTGATGTCCAACGCTTTACTGAATATGGCTCAGTTCCACCTGCAAAATGCAGCTCCCATTGGGTGCTTTTTAAAGGTGCTAACGTTGGCTTTCTACAATCATTGCTCTCCTTTTGCACTCACCAGTGCTGCACAAACTGCACTAATACTAGCATGACTTGTGGCTGTTGCACGAATGCCAGTCATTATTCCTGCCCAAACGTTTGTGACGCCAAATACCCCAGAAGGTCACACATAAATCGAATATATATTTACCATAGGACTAGAGTGCAAAAGCCTTCCTTGTGTTGGGCAGCACCCTACCAGACAGCAAGTGTGAAAAATCGGGACAATGGGTGGGGGGTAATAGGAGCCTATATAAGAAAAAGACCCCAAAATCAGGACTGTCCCTATAAAATCGGGACATCTGGTCACCCTAGAGTAAGGGGTGCGTAAACATAGCAGAAGCTGGCCCACCCTAATTCTTAAATAAAAAGCTTGGGTAAACAAAGCATGATGGGCTTGATCCTGCCTTCCTCACATATCCTAAAACCCTCCTGACGTCACTGGGACTCCTGGCTGTGCTAGGAAAGCAAGATCAGGCAGGGCAGCTGTTTGCACTTGTGCCTAACCTAGAAAGATGAATTTAAAATGATTGGGTTTTTTGAGTTCATGGTACAGACTCACCTGCAGTTACCTCACCCTTGCATTTGAGGAAAGAGGGCAGGGCCCAATTTAGGACTCTGAGCCATACTGGACACATGGAGTTACACTTTGGGCTTCCCAAGTGCTGCAACTGATCAGGCCCTTGCATCTCCATTGGCTGTTGAGCTGATTTATTCAGTGGATGCATATGACAATGCATGTTAGTGAGCCCCACTTCAGGCAACGCACGTAACAAGAAAAGATCAAACCCCAAAGCGAAACCATATCTCCAATTTGTCAAGATTCCTATCGTTTTTCAGAGGTGGTCTTCCTTCATTTACTAAAATAGTATTGTTATAACCATTCCAGCTCTGTATATAGTATGTATAGAAGACATCATTACTAAAAGCACTGTAGGTGAATTGTTCTGTCAAATTTATATCTTATGGACATTTTTAGCTGTTTTCTACATCATAAAAATGGAGGTAACGTGCTGAACCTGTATATAAGCCTTTTGTACATTAAAAAGTAATTTTTTTTCATAACTTATTTTGTTTCATGGTTACTGTATTGTGGTGGTACTCAGAGGCCCATGCAGGTTCAGGGCCTGCTTGTACTAGGTGTTGTACAAAGATACCAAAAAGATGGTTCCTAACTTGAGGAGCTTACAATCCAAGTACAGGCTAAGAGACTACAGACGGATACAACAAATTGATGGAGTGTGCCAGGTAACAGAGACACATGTGGGCAGTGTGATAAGCAGCAGTCACAGCACACCAGCTGCCTAACCATTATTGAGAGCCAAGGTGGGTGAGAAAATATCTTTTATTGAACCACCTTCTGTTGGTGAGAGAGACTCTGTGTAAGCTCGAAAGCTTGTCTCTCTCACCAACAGAAGTTGCTCTAATAAAATATATTACCTCCTCCAACTTGTCTCTCTATTAGCCTGGGACCGACACGTTACAACAACACTGCATATAACAATTGCTGAGTGTTTTGTAGGCATCATGGCAAAGGTGAGTTTTAAGGAGAACAAGGTCGAGGCTTTTGGGGATTTTACAGGAATCTCCTTCCACACATAAGGGGGCAACATGGCAGAAAGCACCAAGGTGCTTCCTGGAAATTTGACGAATGGGCAGTTAAGGCTGACATTGTTGGCAGAGCAGAGATGGGGGTTGATGGCTCAATAGTTGTTTTGTGTTTGGTGCAGTGAAGGGGAAGCCAGTCTGTTTGTAGTAGCTGGTGACATGCCAAGCAGTAGATCTACTGGTCGGGATCAAAATTAAGCCTGGTGTGCCTCCCATTGAAGTGAACGGAGAGATTCCCACTGACTTCAATGAGAGTTGGATCAACCACTTGAGAAATTGCCTTTTGCCTTGGCTCTGTCATTGGCCAACAAAATATTTGAATTGTGAATATGAGCTAATGTTTTGAAGGGGTTCCGGTGCAATGTATCACTCTTTATGAGAATTGTTTATAAACTGTGAACTTAAGTTGCAATGAAGACTTTAAAATATATAACACCGGCAATAAGCCAGACCAATCAGATCTGCCATACATTTTGGCACAAATGAAACTTAAAGAAGACCCAAACAGAATCCTGCTCCTTCTCTCTTTGGAATCAATGGCAAAACTCCCATTCATCTCAACAGCAGCAGGGTCTGACCCTAAGCAAGCATGACTACTGCAATATCCTTTCGATCCAAAGCGGAGGTGGAGGAAGAAACTACAAAGCAGTAATACCTCCCTCTCTGTGCAGTCCCTGTGCCAAGTCATTGTGTTATTCTCAGTACTAAGAGATGAAAATGGCCGTGGACTAGGGTCTGCTCCAAAGCCTAGAGAAGTCTTTACATTTACCCCTGGCCCTTAGTAAACATGATGGGGTCAAATGCAAACAAAAACCGACAATGTCAAGCCTTTTGATGTTTTGTTGTAAACATTTTGCGGGATTTGAACCAATCACCTTAAGGCAAAAAGGTTGACTAGCCCATTATTATCCTGCTAGCCTCAAAATCCATCGGGTAGATATCAACATATTCTGTATGACTCAAGAATTACAAAAATCCGTAAGGAATGGCTTTTGTTATTATTGGAGATAAATTGTTCAGACTTATTTTTCCTCCTTCTCAGAATTAGGGCATCATCCATTGTCCACTGAACTCAGAGGTTTTTCTATTGACTTCAGTGGCTTTTGAGTCAGGGTCTAAGTTCTTACTTATTTAGATCTAGAAATGGAGTCAAGATTCTAATATGTGATCCTAATCCAGATGTAAAGTTGCCTCTAATTCAGGGGCGTTCAGATGCAGAGTTTGATGGGAACTCTGTTTATATTATAAACGCTACATTTCTCTCCACTGGGGCTAGCACTTCCCAGGGCTCCCTCTGATGAATTGTAACCACTTGCACTTTTTTTATTGCTTGCACATCCTGGAATGTACAGCACAGAGGGTGTTTGTGTTTCTCAAAAGGCTTCTTGTGCAGAACTGTAAACACAGAAATGGTGATAATCCTTTTGCAACAACGAAAGTCCATTAATTAACCATGGCCTTGGGCACAGCTGGAATCAGGAGCTTTAGAGTCAATATTAAAATAAATGTGAACGCTTCATTTCATATTTAAATATTCCTCTTTTTAATCAGTTTCCTTCCGAACAAAGATACAGTATCTCTTTGGGCCAAATTCTAGCACCCTTAACTGAATGATACCTTACTTCATATTGCAATCAATGGAACCGTATGAGGAGTAAGGCCTTCACGATCCTTTAAAATGGAGCTAATATGTAATGTTTTCCTGGGGGGGGGGGAAGGAAAGAGACCATAAAAGCTACTGTTGCTGGATTTTGTTGCACTCCTACTGAGTATAGAGTCATTCCAATGGCCTCTTTATTGCAATGGTCTCAGTAGAGATGACATAGAAGCTCTTGTTCTTTATGAGCAGTTGGATCTACTTGGAAGAGCATATGTGTTGTAAATAAATGGTGTGTTTTATATTACTGGAAGGACAATTTATGACCAACCAAGGCCTCTTGCAGACAGCTATTTAACTTGTAAGTAAAATGACCTAACACTTAAGAAATTTAGAAGCTACAAAACATCCCTACATTACAGCCAATGCATTTATTTCCCCTCCCTC